AAATTGATATTCATATGATGACAATATCGTATTTTTTCGCTGACCCAGTAACGAATTGGCAGAAAAAATACCAACCTTGAGGCCATTGAGGGATGGGAGAAGGAAGAGAGAAGATTTGAGGGTGATTTGAAAAGGATTGATCGTATGTAATTGAATTCCAACGAAAGCACGTGGAGCCAAGCATCTCCACTGCTCATAGATCGCACACTTGAAACATTTCTAGAATTACCGACACTTTTTCATTTCTTTGTTCCCTCAAGGAATCTACGATGATGTTGTTCTTGTTTTTGTTTGAAATATACTCTGGTATATGCTATAACTCCCTTTTATTTAAAGATTACTTATAACTTAGAACATGTCTAATACTGCAAAATGTTCATGCCTATGACTATTCTTATTTTACCCACACAAAATCTTTGCATGGTAATTACAAACAAAAATATTTGATTTTGACATAAGCTGATTTTGATGGAGATTGATTTTAAATATAATCTGAAAAATCTCATTATATTATAGAGTAGAAATTTAATGTTCAAATAAACATGTTATGTCATAAGTGCATGCATCACACTTTTATAAATGATATTCCTCCATACGAAAATAAGTGTCATATTTATAAAAAATATTTGTCTTAATACAATTTTATATTTAATCTTTCAATTTATCATCTAATAAATACTTTTAATTTATTGTCTTCTCACTTAACATTAATGTTAATTTGAATACACCAATAATTAATTAAGATAATTTGATAAGGTCACTATTATCTCTCTTTTATTTATTATTGTTTCTTAATCTGTGTGAAATTGTCGATTGTGACAAATAATATAGGACGGAGGGGATACTTTTGATGTAACTAAAGAAAAAGTCAAACTCATATGAAAATTTAACGGTTACGATTAACTGACAGTGTACAATATATTTACATTGGTGCATATCAATTAAACTATGATCTCCACTTTTCACTAAACTCTTCTTAAATCTTGAATTGGCTTGGACGCCAGAGTGTTAACTATGTGGATTCACTCAACGCGTCGTAATAGAGATCAATATCACTTGTTCAAGACATTCAATTCATCAACTACGTCTATTTCTGGTTTTTGAACAAAATTGTGGCACCATCCGTGGGAATCGACTTTTGATTCTTACGATTTCCACAATGTTAGATTCAATCCTCGATTTAATAATTTGTGACATCTTCAGGTCACCGAATTAAGAACATCTCAGCATCAAATGTGGAGATTCGTCGTTGACGATTCAATTAATTATCGGTTCAACTACTATTCATCGGATTTCCAGATCTATGATTCCCTCGAGAACTCCCCGAAGTAAAAGAACAAAGGATCATAGATCCAAATCCAGATCAACACTGAAATCACCACAAAGTGAAGACAATTTCCTTGAAGATCATGTCGAAGATATAAGGTCCATCTTTCAATCTAACATCACCCATATCTCTTGCCCCCAATGTGATACTTGTAGTGGCGACGTCGAAGATACGAAGAGTTCCTATTTAATGATCGTCGTGGATCTGATACCAAATCACCTCCTATAGGTACCAAAGAATCTTCGATCATCGAACAGAGATCTCCTCGGAGCAGATCCAATAGATCATGATGGAGTTCATAATGCAAAGGTCGAGCATGACAAGCGTGTTACTTTTTTTATCACTTAGGTCAATTATTACCAAAAGATCGGCTGATTCCAGTGACAACCTCTTAGTAAACTTCCCTTTCCCTATGATTCTGGGATGGTACATCAAGAACTAGATGTGTATGAGCACTACGGAAACTACAACCTAAGGCCTCATAGTACGTGCAATAGTTTCTACCAGGGCCAGAGTCCATGCGAGATAACTCATAAGCAACCTTTGCCAAGAGCCATTGTCTTGCCCGACCTAGCTGACTACCAAATCCCCATGGTCAGACCGACCAGGTAATTGAGATTCATTAGCTACACTCAGGAAAACGACCCCTGTACTATGGTAGCAAGGAAGCTAAATCTCCTCCAAAATACATATGTCGGCAATTATCTCTTGTCCATCGCCCAACATCGTCGGTCCTTAGAAAGATTACCAGACGAAGAGAGCATGATGAGCTTCTCTCGTAAAGGTTAGGGGACGAGCATATCAAGGAGCCTCACCTTCGTCCGTCCAGACTCTCGAGCCCTGGGGGAATTCGGCCGTAAGCCCAGAGATAACCTAAAGCGGTGTTACAGTTGAATGTTTACTTACATGGCCATTCTTTCTTTTGTTGTATGCTTTCTTATTTGTCTCTCTTTTAGAGAACTAAAGGCAAGAAAGATAAAGAATACATACACTTTTGCGTGTCTGATATATATCGCATTCACTTATGTATATTTGATATGGCTTCGACGTATTTCTACATGGACAAAGAATACTTTGTGTGTCCGATACATACACACACTTTGGTCCCCCCCCCCCCCCCCCCCCAGAGCATGATGAGCTTCTCTCGTAAAGGTTAGGGGACGAGCATATCAAGGAGCCTCACCTTCGTCCGTCCAGACTCTCGAGCCCTGGGGGAATTCGGCCGTAAGCCCAGAGATAACCTAAAGCGGTGTTACAGTTGAATGTTTACTTACATGGCCATTATTTCTTTTGTTGTATGCTTTCTTATTTGTCTCTCTTTTAGAGAACTAAAGGCAAGAAAGATAAAGAATACATACACTTTTGCATGTCTGATATATATCGCATTCACTTATGTATATTTGATATGGCTTCAACGTATTTCTACATGGACAAAGAATACTTTGTGTGTCCGATACAGACACACACTTTTGGTCCCCCCCCCCCCCCCTAGAGCATGATGAGCTTCTCTCGTAAAGGTTAGGGGACGAGCATATCAAGGAGCCTCACCTTCGTCCGTCCAGACTCTCAAGCCCTGGGGGAATTCGTCCGTAAGCCCAGAGATAATCTAAAGAGGTGTTACAGTTGAATGTTTACTTACATGGCCATTCTTTCTTTTGTTGTATGCTTTCTTATTTGTCTCTCTTTTAGAGAACTAAAGGCAAGAAAGATAAAGAATACATACACTTTTGCGTGTCTGATATATATCGCATTCACTTATGTATATTTGATATGGCTTCAACGTATTTCTACATGGACAAAGAATACTTTGTGTGTCCGATACAGATACACACTTTTGCCCCCCCCCCCCCCCCTAGAGCATGATGAGCTTCTCTCGTAAAGGTTAGGGGACGAGCATATCAAGGAGCCTCACCTTCGTCCGTCCAGACTCTCGAGCCCTGGGGGAATTTAAAAATTCAAAAATGCCCCTCATATTTCATAAATTTATTTCCGGACGCACCATAAATATCTCCCAAACACGTTCTAAATGAAACTCACCCTAAATTTTTTTTTCCGAAAATATACTTCAAAAAAAATCCATACTTTCATAAATTGAAAAAAGACATATATTTGCCTTCCTCCGAAGAAAGGTGTTCTTTCAATCTTATCTCTCTTTCAACCAATTCGTTCACTTTTGTCTTTTCCAGGTACCATCCTCAACCTTGACCTTCATTTTAATTCCATGTCTTTACTTTTTTGACATGGCTCTCACAAATGCCCACATTGTGAGTTTATTTAGTGTTGATGAGATTAATAGTTCTCTCTCGTCTGATAAAAGAAAATCTTCTACTAGTTCTAGCGATAATCTTTCAGTTACTAGTCGTTGCGCTCTCGCAGTAATAAATGTCTCTAATGACTCTGATTCGGAAAAAACTCTTCTTTGGTTTGTAGAAGGGGAAACCTCTCTCGATAATAATCAAATTTCTGACATGATTATTTTTTAAGCGGTTGAAATTGATCATTTCCTTCTAGGTCTCACTCTAATAGGGGCGAAAATGATTTCCAAAAATATGAAAAAAGTTGTTCTTACGTTGAGACTTATAGGCCTACCTTCGACTATGATTTTAGTGGTTTACAATTTACAGAAGTATACTTTTGGATTTTTTTTCGGATGTATATTTCCGGAAATTTTTTATAAAACAATGGTGTGACTCAATTGTTCATGAATTTGATGTATTTAGAATACGTTCGAAGATACATTTTCGAAATTTAAGAGTATTGTTATATTCTCATTAGGTGTGCATTAAGAAATTTCCTAGAATATTATGGCAATAGTGAATCCATATAGTCAATTCAGTTTGTGCAATAAGGTTTGATTGTTATTTGTACACATAATTCTTGAAATACACCTTTTGAAGAAGAAAAAATTGCATTTTACACATCCAAACAGTATAAAAACTTTTTTTTCTTCTTGTAGAAAATAATATCGTTATCTTCTTTACTGCTCTCGTTATATCAGAATTTCCATTCATGTATAAGAACATTAATAAATTCTATTTTGGTAATAAGACTCGAATTTATTAATACTACCTTAATATTTATTTCTTTTGGAATGTATTTCACTAATTTCTACTTGCTTCTTTCTCAAACTAAGTCCATAGACTCAAATATCTGTTAAGCAAGTTACAACCGAGTTTCAGACAAGCTGTACATCTAATCTCATGGATTTTATATCTCCCAGCTCCTTTGCTCTCTCAACCAATTCCTAGTTTCAATAAATGTTCAATTGTCTTTATTTCTTGGAAGAGCAGGAGATAAATACATATGATGGTGCGAGATGTTACCAATTGATGCGATGACATATTCAGCTTCAGATGGCATATGCTGATAGGAATTGCAAAGTTTAAGAACTAGTTTATGAATTTAACTTCAGAGCACAAATTAAAAGCAGATTACAGTGAGATATTCAAGCTAATGCTACCAATACAAGCATAACATCCAAGAGACACTAAACAGGAACTTTGTTCTGATTTTAAGTGCAATAAAATTCTTAGCTGTAACTATCACGAGAGCGGAGCTTAATAACACTATGGACTCACCCCCTCATACACATTGCTCTCAGCATTCGGAGTTCATTGCGAGAAAATGTCTGAGTCTATGCTCAACAGTTTATGTATTTAAATGTGGATAATAATCACGAAGCTTGTGCATCATTAGCATTTGGCTCGGGATCATTTTCTGATGATTTTGCGTCTTCAAAAGTTTCCATTTCAATGGTCACATCGTCACCCGTATCAGCCTCAACCATTACTTCGTCATTGTCTGTTACCGAAGGCTCGGTGCCATTTTGTGCACCATCAGATTGCTGCTCCTGCTGCTTTTCACTTGGCATCTCTATGGCATCAGTCTCTTGTACTGGTTCTTGTGGATATGGATCAGTGCAGATTGTCAATGTAGATGTAACTAATAAATTCTACATAGAAAAACACAGTACAGAAGTCAAGCAAAACGTTTAAACAAGTTATTTATAATTCAAGTACCAACCAAAAAAAAAAACGAATGTTTAACCATTTACAAATACAGGATCTTAATTTTGTTAAATAAAACAAATTTGAAAAGCAGTGCACATGTCACATTATGATGCGTACCTTTTCAAGAGCTAAAGCAAGCTTGGAAAGATTTGGATAAATGTTTCTTGCGTCCAATAGAATCTGTTCAATACAAGCTATCAGACAACAATGTTCTGTATTATCATGTTAAACTAGATGAAATTTGGAGCCAGGATATAAAATTGCACAAGGATGAAATTTTACCTCACAAACCCTTTGCAACGTAAATGGTGGGCCATCTATAAAACATGTAAGTGCTGGAATCCAGAAAAGAATTTCAGAGTTGATTACTAAAGATTGTACCCAAAAAATAACCAGTACAGCAATTAATAGTAACAGCTTCAAACTACTGAAAGAATATAAGCATCAAGGTAACATGGCATATGCAACCTAAAAGGAGATCATTATTCAAGAGATTTGTTGCAAGTCAATGATTAAGAGAGAACAGGATCTGGGGCCGAGTGAGTCTACCAAAATTGCATTCCAGAAAAATGTTTAGCAGCTAAATGACTGTCACTACTTCATTATGTCGTCAAATAGTTTTAATGTAAAATCGGAAACCAGAATGTGTGGGATACTCTTGATCAACGCAACTCATACCAATCACTAGTAAGCTTATGTCTCAATGATACTCTCTTATGAGCTTTGGCTTCATTCAGTGTCAGTTAATGACCGTTCCAGACATAAATGTTGGCCAACTAAAAAGTCAAAACTATGGAAAGAATTCAAATATGTTTTTAAAATAAATGACATTATCTGTTAACATAGAGCTTTCTCTAAGAAAGTTTTGATCTAAAATACTACTTCCATTCCTTTTTATAAGAGTCGAGTCACTTTTTAGATTTATTGAATAACTAATGTATTTGGTATGTTTATAGACTAGATACATTGATTATTCAACGAACCTAAAAAGTGAGTCGTCTCTTATAAAAAGGAACGGAGATAGTAATATACTATTCTATGTAGAGATGACAGAAAAGCCACTTATTTTACCATTAATAGTTTGTATATTTGCATCAAATTATCTGCGTAGGTATATTATAATTACACATATCGAAATATAACACACTGGTCGCTATGGCCAATGTTTTGAAAACCAGACAGTCCAGTTCAACTGGGAACTACTACTGTCAAGACTCTAAACCAAGTATCAGAGTAATTGCCACATAATGAAAAGTTGAACAGATCCGACTTTTATTACCCTTAGATGCACCAGGGGAGAGATGAGCACCAAACATGGACCCCACAGCTTTAAAATTGATATTCCCAAAATACTTTTATTAGTTTTTGAAAAAGTAATGTAATAGTTTATCTCAAAATTTAGGTTGGGCCTAACTCGTCCCTACAAAACCGGTTTGTAAGGTGAGGATTGCCCCCATTTATAAACACAAAACAGTCCATATTTCTAAGCAAAGTGGAACTAAATCCACCACCTTCAAACCCAACACAATGAAGGTGTTGGAAGCTGCAACGAAGGTAAGTCAAATGCCACAATTAAGGCGACTAGGGGGGGACTGCAATGAGTATGGAAATTCCAACAGTTCTGTTCACTTACTAAAGGATAATAGAATATTAATATAATACTCAATATTTTAAAAACAATATTAAATTATCCCAATTGATGTCTATAAAATTGAATGATACTACAAAAAATAGTGGGATACCATACCATCATCCTAAAAACAATATTAAATTCTCCCAATCGATGTCTATAAAATTGAATGATACTAAAAAAAATAGCGGGATACCATACCATCATCCAGTTTGTGGACCAAATCAGAGTAGGATTCTCTTAGTGAAGCATATTGCTGCTCACTTGTCATTTTTGCCTCAGGGTACTCGGACAACACCTGTACAACGAATAAAAGATGAAAAATATCACGAATTAGAAATACGGTGTATGAATAATAAAATTTCAATAAACTATATATGAACAACAAAAAATATGAAAAACTACATGCTAGCATACTCTAAGAATTAACATAATATAAAGAAGAATGCATGCTAGCATACCTCCCCATACCTGCTTCAGCTGAAATGAGAGCATACTCTTGAGATTATCCCAGTCATGCCTGTTATACAAAAAATTCCCCACACCAGTTTTTAAAGTGCATTCCATCTCTAAGTCAACTATCTTTCAACTTAGCTACTGTAGTGAATACAATGATAGTGGCTTCTGAGTAAATATTAGAAAGCAATATGCAAATACTTTAATACAAGCATATGGAAAACTCAAATTTTAGAACATTGTCATCATTTAACACCTAAACATCACAGCTAACAAACACAATCAACATCAGTCTGAGGGACGTAGAGGCTAAGGTTAATGATCAATCTTGAACAATAAGCCCTTAGCAATTACAACGATAACACAAAAATAAGCTTAACTGTTAACATACACAGACAAAAACCTAGGTTGTCAATAGCCCGCTATACACCGCTATAGCGGTGTAGCGTAGCGGCAATGCCCCTCGCCGCTATGCTATTGGCCTGCAAAGCACTAGCAGCGATAGCAGACATAGCGGCCGCTAATAGCATTTTCGTAGCGGTGCAATAGCAGTGTCATCGCGGTTTGATGGCCGCTACTCTCGATTTGGGGGGAAATCATAAGCCCTAATATTTTGAAACGTAATTTTTATTCCTACCCTTTTATTGGTCTAATATTTAACCCCGCGTGTTATGCCTCTTGAGTTCCACGTTTTCTCTTTTCCTTTTCTACACTGTTCTCCCCTGTCTTCCCCCTTGCAACGCTATCCACTGTGTCTTTTGCATTCTTCGTCTTTTTCATATGTTTTTTCACTCTTCTCCCCTTCTTCATTGTTTGCCTCTGCTCCGCCATTCTCTTTTGACTCTTTGTTCTGCTTTGCCACTTCTCCTTTCACTCCTACAACCTCTGTTATGTTTGCCTTGCCTTGTTTATCTTTTGATAACCATGGCATCATCACCCTTTGTCATTGCAAGAGTAACACCAACCTCCAACAATAAAGGTCATTTTAAATCTATTGACAATCTTGATATTGGTTGGCAGTGGAACTCTTATAGAGACCAAAGCAACAATACAACTGTTTGTGATTTTTGTGAGCACCATTCAACAGGAGGAATAACAAGAGCTAAGAAGCATCAGTTGGCGATAGAGAAGTAGTAAACCCTTGCAGGAAAATACCAGATGATATTAAACAAATACTGCAAGAGAGTTATGATAAAAAAAAGCAAGACGCTACTCGTGCGTATATGTCCGGGGTTAATATCAATGAGGAGGAGGATGTTGTGCAGGAATACTTTTATAATTTGATTTCGATGGTAACTCATTTGGATTGGATACGTTCTATTTTGTAGTATTTATGTATGCTGTTGGAATTTGTGTTTTACAAAGTACATTGTTTTTTAGTCTTCACAATAGCAGCCATAAAAACCTCAAGAACGGTACAACATCCACTAAGACCTCATGAGGTGGGATCAGTTGAATAGATCAATCAATGCCATAAAAATCCGGTGTGTATTACATACAAAGATAAACCATTCATATCTAAACATGTCTTCTTCTTTTTTGAAAGTATCTAAACATCTCTTAATAACCAGTTTAACCTTGAGTATTTTCTAATCTCCCTCTACCTCTAACTATTGGAAGCTTCTCTATCTAGTCAGCCCTCCTTACCAAACCCGACATCCTCTGGCAACACAAGGCAGTGAGGCTGCATCGGCACTATAATGTTGTGATTCAGTGTAATTAATTATTAAATACTCTCCATATGCCTTTTAGCCTCACTAAAGCAATCAAACAAATAAATAATTGAACAATATCATCATTTCAAAGTGTTGGCAAGTCATTTACTTCCATTTACAATTGGAAGTCCTTTAGCAAAGCAAACTTAACTGAATCAATTCAAAAAGGGCACTATTGCAGCAACTAGAACTAAAAGGAAAAAACCATAATTGTATGAGATAAAAGGATCACAAATATCATAAAATAACTAATTATCATAATAACAGACTCCAATTGCTAGCATACTAAAAATATAATGCAGTACAGTCAATGGCACCAAAAGGCACATCTACATTTCTAATTCATGCAAGGAACTATCATTATCCGTTTAAAGCACAAAAAGTAACTCTCACCAGAACCTCCCGGAGGATGCAATAGCTTGTAGAATCCGAACAACTTCATCCCTTGAAACATCTATTTTTTGTTCGGTGACTCTAAAAAAGGAACCACAAGAACAAAATCAATTCCAGCAGTTTCACAAACAGAAACACTAGCGAGTGAATACGCAAATCACCTGTGATTTGAAACATCGGCCACTGCATCGACCACCGCGTCGTTGGGTAGAATTACGGCGTCGCTAGAAGAAACCGGCTCGTGCTGCAAATTATCGTGTGGTTGCGTCTCCATGAGAAGCCCTGCAACCGCATTAAGTTAAATGAAACTAAATTAATTATATAAATGGTCAATTACCGCTTATTGGTTGGGAAAATCGAACAGTGTATGCACTGTACGATTTGCTGTGGTGGAAGAAAATACATACCTATATACGTTGTCGTTTTGAAGATTTGAAAGTCAAGTGTTGGTGTGGCGTTAGTTGAGATTTGAGAAGGTTGCTCCGGTTTGCATTTGGCAGCCTCCGTCACCGTCAGCGGAGGAACTGCGTCGTGGTCTCCGTGTGTTTTTGTCTCTTTTTATGAGTTGGGCTTTGTTCTCGCCGGTTTGTATTGTAACTATGGACTCACTTTTGGGTTTGTTGTCTTAATAAGGAATTTCTTTTCGCACGGGAGGGAATGCACCTCTGAAAATTATAAAATATCTTTGGGTTTATTTGAAAATATATATTTGAACGTATTAAATATTATTTTTTATTATAATTTAGTTTTAAGATGCAATTACGAATTTTTTTGAATTTAATTTGCAGTTACATCTTCGAAAATATTTTTGAAACCATTTTCCAACAATTTTATTTAGATGATTTACTATTTAACCACTAAGTGATATTTTTCGAAGATATATCTCCAAAATCTTCCAGCAGAAAATTGAATATATCAGAAAATTGAATATATGACCACCTTGCATGATTATCTCTCCTACGCTTCAAACTTTTTTCATAACCAAAATCCTTTAAATTTTTTCATTTTCAACCAACTTTTCAAATCCAAATCAGTATTTGTTGATTTTATCACATCAAAGGGAGTAAAAGAAGCTGCAATTTAAGGTAAAGTTCATTCATTTCATCCCTCATTGTTTGCATTAATCTTGTTTTGAGTTAAAAAATGTGTACTTTGTCTGAATATACATATCTGAACTCACCTACCATAATTTCGGATGTGTATATCCGAAATTTTCTGCTATTGATTTTTAAGCATTTTTCTATTTTGGTTCTTATTAGGTATGGTGCGCCCGAATATGTTTCTCAAAATTATTGTAAGTAACAATGTAAAACCAAATGTAGTGAATGATGGTGTTAAACTGGATGAAGTGAAGCATGATGTTAAACCAGATGAAGTGAATGGTGATGTTAAACCAGGTGAAATAAAATTAGTTCTTGTCGAGATAGGTGTTGGTCAACGTTTCATAAATGAACAAGTGTTTACTGCTCGTGAACATATGTTTTAATGGATCCGCATGGTAACTAGAAATTCGGGGTTTGGCATTTTAATCGGAAGGTCCGACAATAGTTCAAATAGAAGACACCCATCTGTAACCATGACATACGAGAGAAGTGACATGCATGTTCCCTGATTCGGAAGTTGAAACGTGATGACACCGTAACGAGAAAATATGGTTGTCCGCTTAAATTGCACGAATATTGTAAGGTGGATGAAATATGGAAATTTAATGTGATTTCTGGCATACATAATTATGCCTTGCAAACAGATCTAGTCGGTCATCCCATTGTATTTCGCCTTAAACCGGAGGAGAAGAAAATTGTTTCGAACATGTTTTTAATCAGAATGACATTGAAAAACACACTTGCAGATTTGAAATGGAAATAACCAGAAAGTGTTTCAAATATCAACAAGTATACAATGTGTGTTATCGAAACAACATAGCAATAAGGGGTCCAAGATCTTAAATGCAACAAATTTTGAAACTTTTGGGTGAAAACCACTATGTTTCTAGGTACACCATTTGCGATAATAAAGCCATTGTTTGTGACATATTTTGGACTTATCCCGAAAGTATTAAGTTGTTCAACATATTTCTCACTATCCCCATTATCGATTCAACAAAATAAGACCACCAAGTATAGGCTTCCGCTTCTTGAAATTGTTGGTGTTGCTTATACGGAGAAGACTTTTTCAGTGAGATTTGCATTTTTGGAATCCGAAAAAAAGGCCAATGTTACATGGGCTTTGGAAATGTGCAAGACTTTGTTGAATGGTCAAAAAACATGTCGAAGGTAATTGTCACTGATCGAGACATGGTGCTCATGAATTTGGTTGCAAAGGTGTTTCCTACATCATACGCATTACTTTGTTGATATCACATTACAAATAACGTGAGGAGTCGGCTCAAGCCAATTCAAGATACAATTCAACAAAGTGGTTTTCATCATACTTTGAACATGTTGATTCACATTTCTCGGATTCTCCAACTCCAAAATCTCAAAAAAAATGTGTACAAAGGTGCTCGCATTAGCAAACCACCTCTTCACCATCAATGTCGAAGACTGAATTAATTGAAAAAATATCACTTTTTATGCACAAACAAATTGAGTGGATTATGAATGTTAAGGATGGTGGAAATTGTGGTTTTTGGGCTGTATTTGGCTTGCTTGGTAAAAGAAAGGAGAATTACCAACTTGTCTGCATAGCCCTTTTGAAAGAGTTGATGATGCATAGGGAATTAGACGTAAAGTTATACAGGATAAAAAAACATTCTTATTCAATTCAAGATACACTTACTCCTTATGTTAGCGATCCCGCACCATTTTCAAAATGGATGTGTTTCCCTAATATGAGTCATCTTATAGAAAGTGCATATGACAAGGTGTGTCACGATCTGACAAGATATGGGTTCTCTGAGACATTTTCTCTGAGATGCATCATGTGCATAAGGTGGCTTTCAAAATCGCTATAGTTTGTTAGGGTTAATTTGAAACTAGCGTGTCCAATACCAGGTACATCAATGGAGTGAACGACACATTCAACAAAAGAGGCAGAAACTTGGTCGGATCAATTTCTGGGGAAGATGGAAGAGTTCACCAAATTGAGTAAGCTTGAAAGAGAATCAAATCAGGAAAATTCGAAGGCGGAACCAATTGTAGATTTATGCGTGTGATACAGTGGGAGAACTGACTTGGGTGTTTTGTGTTTTATTGCAATTGTTGCGGATAGCAAAAGTCACCACCGATTTTTCTTTTATCCAATAAAGGAAAGAGTGAAAAGAACATGAAATACCTTTGAGATATTTTCTTGAGTTCGGGGGGTAGGTTATGAAAAGGGAAGGTGTTAGCACCCTTTTCATCCGTAGTTTTCTACGGGCTCTTAGTTGCTTGCTAGATCATTTGAAAGTTGCTTTGTTTGAAAATGTGTTTTATGATGGGTGCAAGTTTGAAAATATTTTGAAAACGCCTTTGTTTAGGCAAACTTTGTAATGATTCTCGTCTCTATAAGAATGTATACAAAGTGTTGGTTTTGAAAATAGTTAAAAGAGATGTTTTTTTAAAGATGTTTTGAAAGTGTAAGTGTGGAAATGATTTTAGTTTGTGAGTAAGAAACTACGAGCGTCCTATCTACTCAAAAAGTCTTTGTTCTTTTCCTCCTCCTTTAGATGTTGCTATCTTATCATTGATTTGGTAAGAAACCATATCGTTGGATGTGAAGGGACAGACGTGGGTCATTGTATAGTCATGAATGGAAATATTGTGAGATATCTTAACATTTCTCTTAAGGGACTAAGATCATTTATAAGGCAACATTTGTAGCGTCGTCGAGAGACTATGATCTTGTATTTTGATTATTTTTACTAAGATGGCTCACATGCACATTATGACTATTTTTCTCAAGGCAACAAGTGGAGTTAACCCTAGAGGTGTAAGTGTGTAAGTGTTTATTTTTCATGCATTGTCTTGTCTTGGATTAGGATTTTCTAAGGTTGATTTTTTATCTTGCCATACACACCCTAATTACTAATATTTATGAAAGCGACAAAATTGCGAAAAATAAATGTTCTACGCTATTACATCATTTAGGGGATGGGGGATACAAATGTACAAATGGGGATTGCAAGAAATTAAACCTAATTATCTATTACAACCCATATTGAATAGCTATGAAGCAAATATATGAAATATGTAAAAAAAAACAGCACAAAATAGAGAGAAAAAAACAAATCTTTCGACATCAGGTGTCGAAGCATGTGTCGAAGCATGCTTATATGCATCGAACATATCCTTCTTTTGATCATGTAATTCCAAATCAACTCAGTATGAGTCAAAGAATAATGTTATGTGTCAAATCACACACCCTTTCTCCCTTCTGTTTCGTCCTGTAAAGCAGTATGTGTCGAAGCCTAAGGCTTTGTGTCGAATCATGCTGTAATTTTTTCACTCCAACATTGTTTTATGGTATGTATAGGTTAGTTATTAACATATAATTGACAAGAAAGGAAGACAAACAAAAGTTTAGTTTCAAAGACAATGGTTATTACATGTTATCTTCGAAGATGAATCATCAATGATGCTTGAAATGAAGGGTTTAAAGTCAAGAAGACTTACCTTGAAGCTGGAATTTGTGTTTCGAACTTGAGTTACTGCCTTGAATGTTCTTGAGTTCAAAAAAAAACAGAGGTGTTGTTTTTTGGTTCTGAGTTTAAGAGTGTTTTAAGGCTTCATCATTTGTGTTCTCTCCTCTCTCTTTTTTCCCTCTTTCCTTGCCAAAAGCCCCCCCTTTGTGTGTTGTGTAACAGCTTATTTATAAAAGAGTCTTGCTGGGGGTTTGAGGGGGAAAACAAATAAAATTTGAATTTTTTGGGTATACTCTTTTCATAGATTTTGAGGTGCAGCTCTTATATGCTAATTTGGTGCAAATATGAGACTGAGATAATGCAGGCTTGGACTGGTTTAAGAGCAACATAGCAGGACTATTTAGCAGGAGTTTTGGAGTGTTATGGCAGCTTGGCGCAGGGTTGTTTCATAGCAGTACAGCAAACTGTTTTTTGACATGGTTTTGGGTTTTAATGTGGGCAGTACAGCAAGCTTGGGTTTGGCAGCATATAAGACTTTGTTCAGCAATAGTTTGGACAACATGTCACTAGTTTGGTTTTGATCAATGTTCAACTTGATTCCTTCTACAAAGATCTTTTTCTTGCTCTGGTTTTCGACAAGCATCTTGAATCTCTTAAAGATGTCGAATACTTCGTCCTTTCGTTTTGATCACATAGATCCACCACCTTCGACCAAACTCATCAACATACAAAACAATATTTATTTCCAACAATTGTATGTTCTTAGAATGGACCACATTCATCTGAATGTACCACTTACTTCGTCCTTTCATTTTGATCACATAGATCCATAACCTTCGACCAAACTCATCAACAGATAAAACAATATGTGTTTCCACCAATTGTATGTTCTTTGAATGAACAACATTCATCTGAATGTACCACTTTGAGTATGCAAGATGATCTCATTGGCATAGTCGAAACGAAAGAATTTATGGATTGCTTTCCTACCAGTAACCATATATTGAGTAATCAGTTGATTAAGTGGTCGAAAGTTCAAATGTCCAAACCTTAAATGCCACAACCAACTATCCTGGTGGTCGAACAGTTTTCAAACGTTGAACTTCTGTCGAATTGATCATTATCTTAAATGTCCTGCTTTTCGATAAAGGAGATTTTAAGACCAAATTATTCTTGGTGTCGAACAATCTCAAAACTTCATCTTTCATGACAACTGAGAAACTTCTTCGACTAGTTGTCTAATGTGATACGGTGGGAGAACTGACTTGGGATTTTTCGTTTGTGTTCGCAAATGTTTCGGTTTAGCAAGAGTCGCCGCCGACTTTTTATTTTATCCTAAGGAAAGGTCAATAAGCACAGGAAAGACCTTTGAGATGTTTTCTTGG